ATCAAATTTGATTTGATTTGAGCTTTTAAACCACAACAACAGAACAATGTTTGAAGGACAACATTTAAAGCGCTGTAAACAGCCATAAGCAGGATAAAGAGCTGCGTAAGGAGGACGATAAAAATATCAACAAGCCAGCAATAAAACATTCAACATTCAAGGAGTGCAGAGCAGAGCAGAGAAGAGCAGAGCAGCCAAGTGAACATTGGACCATTGTCGAAATGACATCAATAAAATATTAAAGGCGACAACAAAGAGAAGCAGCCACCACATTCGCATCCACGAATGGCCTTCATGCTTCAGCTAGCTCTGCCCCTGCTCCTGCTCCTGTTCCTGCTCCTGCCCCTGCCACGCCCTCACAGTTGGCAAAACAAACTCAAGGAGTGCGCTGAATGGGTAACTCCACTCGACTGGCGCCGTGGCAAACGAGCTTAACAGGATAAACCGATGAGAACTGACGAAGGGAAAGGGTTTGAGGTTGAGATTGAGACGAGACGAGAAACTCACTTCAGCAGGTTTTCACTCGTCTCGGTTTCAACTCGACTTTGAAGTGCAGCATCGGAATTTGAATTCAATCGCAATTGCAATTGCAATCGCTTCCCTCTGAGCCACAACCCAAGCCCATCTCCATAACTGGCTTTTTATTGCGGCTTCCCCTTCTGTTTTGCTATCTGTGTATTATTTGCGGCTGCTTCGTGGCAAGCGGCTTAGACTTGTTAGCAACGTCTTCCAACTGTTTACGGGTCTTAGACGAACAGAGCGGGGAGTTTGAGTGGGAGTGGGTGGAGGCAGTGGACGGAACCGAAGTTTACTCTGGAAATCGCGACTGGCAATCAGGGACAGCACAGAGAGATGGGTTGCCATCGATAGGCAAAAGACAGCAATTGGAATTGGAAACCGAATTGGGCAGTTACTTGAAATGTTGACCAAATAGCCCATAGAGTGGATATTCCCTTGGTTCGATTTCGGTTTCGGTTTCGATTTCTCATAATTTGCCTCATTATTTTGGGTGGCTGCCTCTGGAATAGGGGAAAGATAAGAACTTAAATATCTCTGAATTTTTATGAAATTTACATATTTTAATCAGCCAGCGTCGATTTCCCAGCGGCAATCAATTTGCTGGCAACGCTTCGTTTCGTTCTTCAGCTCAAAAAATCAGCTGAGATTTTATCTTTCGATTTTCTTTGATCTAATTTCGTGGGTAGTTGCAATTTCAGAGCTATGCATACATTAAGATATATACCGTGTGCCATCGCACCGCATTTAAAGCTGCATTTAAAAATATACTCTATCCAGCCGGACAAGGGCTTTGGGGTCTGTCAGGGCTGACGTCGTCGCGACTGGGGCTTAGAAATGCGACAGGAAATGATAAATGGGTGCGTTCACTGTTGCTTCGTTCAAGCATTTAACTTAAAGCGTATTTTCTAAGAATAGCTGTGCTGTTTACAATCCCACACGTTTCAAAAGTCGAGGCGGATATCAAATTACCTTTTAATGAGCCGCCTGACCACAGGGGAAAGGCGCAATGGAATTTGAGACTTAAGTGTTAATCGATGCATTAAATGTACAATTTTTAAGCAAATGTAATATAATTAGAGGACTTTAAAGGGAACAGCCTATACCAACCAATAATCTGAACGGACAAAGTTTCCCATTTGGACCCAGAGCCTGCGGAGGGAGTACGAAATGCAATTGGGACATAAATTTCCATTTTCGGTTTTATGCCCTCGAGAGCTCAGAGTAATTTAACGCTAAGTTTTTGTTGTTGTTTCTGTTGCTGTTGTTCTTGCTGTTGCTGCTGTTGTTCTTCTGGTTGGGCCAAGCCGACGCGCCGCAATAAAATAAAATAGTAAACATGCAGAGCAAGAAGAAGAAGAAATGGAAAATAAGTCGCGCAAAAAATGCGAAAAGCAACTTGGCGCTAAGTGTATCCCTGTCCTATTCTACACTCCGTTGCCGTTGTCGTTGCCGCTTCCGTGTCCTGCTCCGTGTCCTGCTCCATGCTGCCTGTTCCATCTGGTTTGGGCGCTGACCGCAAAAACTAAAATGGGCAAAAGTTTTTTGGGTACTACTTTTGGGCCGGGCTAACGAGTGGCGCCTCAATTTACGCGGCTTTGAGTGGTTTTTGTTTTGCTATTTATCTTGGCCTGGTTAGCAGTTGTCCCCCTCACCTACCCATGGCTGGGCCCTTTTGCCTTGCTCCTTTCTTATTTTGGCGGCAATTTAATGTCATCATAAATACAAATTCCATGCACAGAAGGACTTTTGCAGTTGCTTTAGTTGCGCTTGAACTTCATTTCGTGGTCCTGTTGGCTGCTGCTTTAATCCTTTGTTCCGCAACTCGTCTGCAATTCTATTAACCCAAGCCAAGCCACAAGCGAGCCTTTCTTCTGCGCTCTCCAGTTATTTTAGCCACTTGCCAGTCTCTCAATTGCCAATAAATTTTAGCCGTTATCAAGCTGGCCAGTCCCCACTTATTCATACACGTGCCAGCAGCTGCTGCATCGACTGAAACACCGCAGCCATAAAGCCGGAACTAGAACTGAAGCTGAACGGGGAACTGGGCTGGCACTGGGCCTGGGCCTGGTACTCGGCTTACATTATTTAGCAGTCTTATTTTTTGTTAGCAGCACATAAAACTAACCGAGCAAAAAATATTCCGGGCTGCATTCACTTTTGTGTGCGCTTTTTTTCGTGCTCAATTTTAAGGCCCAGTAAAATATTATCTAAATTAATTTTGAAAGGCAAATATTTAATCTTTTTGAGGTGGTTATATGAACATTTTTAAAACGTATATTAAATATTTATTTTCAAGTTTTGTTTTATTAAAAAACATTGAATTTCTTTTAAGAAAATGATTTTAAGATAACTTGCCTCAGATTTTAAATTTAACTATTAAGCTTAATTTTCAATAAAAGATTTCTTATTGTTTTTTTAAGTATTAAATATTTATTTTCAACTTTTGTTTGATTAAAATATATATTGCATTTTTTGTGAGAAAATGTTTTTGAGATAATTTGGCTCAGGTTTAAAAGTAGACTATTTAGATTTTTTATTCAATTAAAAGGTTCATTATAATTTATTTTGATTGAAGAAATAATTGATTCTCTTGACAATTTTTGTTAGTATACAATTTTATATAAAATAATATTTTTTTTATTTAAATGGTTTAAAAATATAATTTTAGGCTGTTCGTGCAATTTTTTCTGTATGTTTGTATTAAGAACAATTATTGAAGAAGACAAATGTGGCGATATTTCAGTTTGGATATAGGAAAATGAACTGTACAGTTCTAAGCTTTTGCGTACCTATTTCCCATTTGAATGCAATAAAATTTCCTTGCACCGCATACCACAAGTCTCCATTGAGTATCCTAGACTTTTCCGCGTGTCCGGAGGACGCGTCGTGTCCTTGCACTTGAGCAACAGTGGCAAATGTAATAAAAATTGTTGCGAGAGCGCGAGAAGAACAAACGGAGAACAAACCACCAGAGCACGTGCTCCAGCGGGAAATGTTTCCCGGTTGCCAGTAGCAAATGCCGACGCCCTCCACTTTCCCCTCCCCCCCTCCCCCCTAACCAACCTAGTGTGGTGGAGCTCTACAAGTGCCGACTTTGGCCGTCGTTTGTTTTGCCCGTTGAGTGCAAATTATTTATGCCACATGCGGGACTCCAAACACACCTGCCCTCCGCTCAACGGCAGCAACTGGCAATGCAATCAAAGCAGGCAGCAGGAGATAGATGTATATATATAGGGAGAGAGAGGGAGAAGAGGGCGAGCGAGAGGGAGAGGGAACAAAAGCCACATTGCCATTTTCCACTTTCCATTTTCACTCGAGTGCAATTTGGTGGCTTTGGTTTCTCTCCGTCTCGCGCCTTGGCCGGAAGTTGAAGTCTTTTGTTTTCATTTCCGTTATTTAATGCAAGTGGCATTGTTGTTGTTCTTCTGGTTCTTGTTGTTGTTTTTGTTGCGCGTGTTGCAGGTGCCGTTGCCAGCTGCCTTGACTAACATAATATATGACATTGCCCCGGCTGCGCGGCCCTCCCCTCTCGTCCCGCCTAAGCTGGGCGCCCGAGCGCTTTCAACAACTTTTAACGCCGCAAACTTGTTGGCACCTACTTGTCCTTGCTCTGGCTCCTTGCCGGGGCATCCTTTCACCACTTGGCAGCACTTTTCAGGTAGCCCATTTGCATTTCGCCGCTCCCTATGTGAGCTTGTTGGTTGGCTTTTCGACTACATCTGAAAAATGTTGCCTTCTCTTTTATTTTCTTTTGCCTTTTGCTCTAAACGAAGTTAACCAGATTCTCATGTTCAGATAATGATTTTCGCTTTATTTGCATGCGATTTTTACCAGACAGTTCTTGTTGCTGTTGTCCTTTTCTCATGAGTTTTTCTCGATTTTTGTGGCCCATTCGCGGATTCTTTGTTTTCTTGCTGCTTAAAATTTATTGCCGAATTGTGTGTTTTAAATAAACTTTATAAAGTTGCTTTAGCGAATATTTTTGAATTGTGGCCTCTGATATTTATTACTGTCCAGCTGAGAGTCAGCTGCAAATTTAAATTCTATTATATATTTGTTTTTATTTAAAGGCGATTAATAATAAAATTAATAAAACAGGCTTGTGTGGCCTTCGTCTAGGATATTACAGTAATTACATATGCTTTTTAAAATAAGAATATTCTATTAAAAAGGATATAGACCGAATAAAGTGTATATACACTTGATCAGCAGTTACTTCCGAGTCGATATGTCCGTCTGTCTGTTTAGTTGTCGCACTGACCGGAACGGGTCACTGTATCATATGGTTGCCGATCAAAAATTAGGTTTTAGCATGAATAACTTTTTTTTATTCTCAAGATATCTTCACAAAACTCGGCATTTATTAGTTTGACTATGCACCTTCCATATAATAAAAAAAAAATATATACAAATAACTCTGCAAAAGTACGTAACCCAAGTGTCAAAATTGTATTTTTAATATAAGTATGTATTGTTTTTCGCTTCAGATATTTACATTGAAGTCCATCGTACCGAAAGAATCGTCATCACTAAACCGAATTTTCGAAAGATTATTCCGTGAGCCGTGAACTAGGTAAGTCGCATAAAGTGGCAGCAGTGGAAGTCAAATTTTATGAAGGGTTTCAAGCTTTATATATTTTTTTGTTTCTAATTTAAGTTGTTTAGCCAAAGATTGGCTTACAGATTAGCTCGTATGGAGCTTGATCCATTGGTGCCCTCCCCCCTCTACCCAAACGCAATCAAAAAACAACTTTGGCGCTGCGGTATAACTTTGAGCTCAGCTGCATTTACGCTCAATCTGCCACACACTTGCCTTGACGGCCACAAATTGCTTTTTAATAACTCAACTAAGCCAAGTTGAACTAGCAGCAAAAACAACAACACCTACAACAACTGCAACAACAACAATCGTTGCTACTGTTTCAATTTACCAACTGGCAGTTAAATGAAGGCAACAAACCACAAACTATGCAAGCAAATCTGTTAACTATCCCCGCCCGGCTCTATCCGAACTTCTCGGCTTAGCTTCCTGGGCAGCCCCTCTCGCCTACGGATTGCGTAAATCTCTGTTTTTGAATAGTTTCCCCAAACCAAAAATGTTCTCTCTCAACCCTTCATGGGGCTGTCGAAACTTTAAAACTTGAGCAATTTGTAAATTTAGTGCCAAACTTTGCCTCCAGTTTTGTTTCCCCACTTTTTCATTATCGTTTGCTGTTGTTGTTGTTGGTTCCGTTGAGGCCACCTTCTCGTCAGATCCCAATTCTCATTGTTGTTGGTTGCGGTTGGCCAAATTACGATTGTTCAGTTTTTTTCGGGTAGCTAATGGCCAAGTAGATAAACTACTTTGAGAAATGTGAATATATTATATGTCCTTAATTTAAATGTCATTCACTATGGAATGGCACTCACATCCAGATTATCATATTACCAAACAGATAAGTATCCTCTGCGAAGCAGCAGCAATTGTAGGCATTACTTAAAATTATGAAAATCGCATAGAAAGGCAATCTGAGCAAGATTGCAAGTCAGAAAAATAGAGAGGTGGAGCGAGCCAAAAAACGTAGCGAGTAAAATGAAGAGTGGAAAAGAGATAGAAAAGCATAAAAAAGTGAGAGAGTTTAAAAGAGAGAAATGGAGATACAAAACAAGGTCGAGTTATATAAAGATAGATAGATAGATAGATAACATAGATAGATAGATAGTATGGCCAAGGGAAAATGGGCAGAGTGTTTACTTACAAAAGAAAGAGACTGATAAAACAGTATGTAAACCAGGTCACGTGCTAATGTTTTGGTTCATTTTAGAGCACATTCATACTTTTATATTCATATATATGTACTACTTGTTATACTTGTCCTTGACAGCTGCATCATAAATGTCAACTAAACTACTTTTCCTCTCATTTTTGTCTGCCTCACCCCGAGTCTATGTCTATTTCTGTCCATCTAACCAACACGAAATGCACACACACACGCACACACACTTCCACAAGGGTGCACACATGCAACTGCAAATGCGGACAGCTTAAAAGTATGCAACATAAAATGCAACTATTTAACAGCGACACCAACGCCAAATCGCAACAAACAGATCCAAAAAAGAAGGAGACACAGCCTGCCAGCAACAGCAACAGCAACAAAAAAAACAACAACAACAAAAACAACAGCCATGAAATGTTCCATATGCAATGCAGCAACAACATCAGGAACAACAACAACAACAACAATAAGCGGCACATTTTCTTTTTGTGGTAATAAAAACTAATTAAATCTGCACGAAAAACACGCCAACAAGCAGCAACTCCTTGTTGCTGTTGTTGTTGTTGTTGCTGCTGCTGCTTGCAGTGTGTAACATGTTTCAACACTTTGCGTCTGGTCTGGGGCCAAAAACTGCGCCAGCTACATATAGGAGAGTGTAGGGTCGGGAGGGGGAGGGGGAGGGGGCACTCAAATCCACATTGAAAATTTAATAACCAAAAATTTGCAGCCGAGTTTCGTTTTAGTTTCTCTTTCTCCTTCTCGATTTTTTTTCCGTGAGCAGCCAAATTGCAAAAGTGCGCCGAATGGCCCCCACCCTTCTTCCTCGCCCACACTTTGTATATATATTCATCTCTTTTGCTCTGTCTCTGCTCTGCATGTTTGTGTGTGACTGGCTCTAATTGTTGTTGTCGTCGCTAGTTGTTATTGTTATACCCTACTGTAATCGGCTATCGGCAGCAACGACAACTGTTTGTAAGCGAGTTATACGAGATTGACGATTAACAGCACGCTTTCTTAAGAACATTATATATATTCCTTGAAGTAAAATAAAAGTCGTCTTTAACTGTAAATTTGAGTATTTACATGCTTTAATTGCAATTTATATTAAATTAATTACTTGACACAGGGTATTTTGGTAGTCGTAACAAATTGTTGTTACTTTTTTCGTATATTCTAATTGTTGCTGTTGTTGCTGTTATTCATTTATGTTTTATGTGGCATTTGCCGTCGACTGTTTTTGGCACACGGCAACGGAGACAACGAAACTTTTTGGCAGACAGTTGCTGCTGTGATTTTTGTTGCTATTGTAATTATTATTGTTGGCACTTTGGGCTCGAGTTGTGCTCGCATAGTTGTTGCTGCTGCTGCTGCTGCTAAGTAATAAGCAACCGCAGCAGGAATAACAACAACACAAAAGTGTCGACAGACGAAAATGTAATAAAATTGTTGGCAAGTCTGCAGCACAAGGTTGAGGACGTAGTCGAGCTGCCGCCAGCGCGTTGGCTGCCAAGTGCCCAGCATCAAAGAACACACACACACACACAAACGCACACTCACACAGGCACTCCACACACATAGCATAATGGCGTTGTAATGCTCGTAAGCAGGTGTAATTGAATGGCCTTCCCCGTCCCTCGGCTCCCTGCTACCAGCTAAACTCCCAGCGGAGTTTTCACTTTTGGCACGAGATTTCAAGTGAGCTACGACGACGAGTAGCAGAAATGTCTGTGTGTGTGTGTGTGTGCGTACAGCTGTTTGAGTGTAGGTGTGGCTTTTCCGGCTGCAGGAAATATCATATGCATTGTGGCCTGGAATTAAATGTGATAAGTGTATTAATTGCCTCTCGAAATATTGTATGGTATCAATAAATTAATATATCAATATTTTATATATTATATATATCAATAAATTAAATATTTATCCTTAATTATTTATTTAAATAATCGAGTGTATTTTATTGCACAGCGAAAATTTTAACAAAAAATTTGTTTTATAGTATAAAAAAATTGTTTTCAATGTTTTTAAACAGGGTCATCGATGGATCGATTAGATCGAATCCAAGATCAGAGGCTGGAAGGATGCTGGGTAAAATAATACCCTTAATATTTCTGAAACTAACGGGACGATTCGATGTCCGTGATATTACACTGAGATATGCCCTTTACTTCTGCTGGAAGTATTTTCGTTGTTTAATTTGGTAAGTTATGTGTTTCTAGGCGAATGTTTAATCGAATCCTTAGGAATATGATTAGGCGACGACTACAAATATAATGTTCTCTTTAGAACTTAAAGTTTAACTTGCCCATATCCTGGCAGGGTTTCGAGTTTCGCACATTGATTAAATTAATCTCTAACTCTCAATCACGACTAGGTTTCAACATTTAGATGCGTCGCATTCCCAGCATTTTATATTGCACACAAATTCTGATTTCTAAACGCTCATTGGTCACAATTCGAATTTCTTGTCTGTCAATTCCTCGTACGAACGATCGTACGATTTTCTGAACGTCCTTACAAATATATAGGTTCATAGGCTCATACGAATTTTAGTGCTTCACTTCATTTGTCCGTAAATTTTCTCAATGGGAACAACTTTAATTAAACTTCCTGTCAGGTCATGACGCACGATCATAACGAATTAACAGCCGACTGCTAAAACGGCGGTGAATAACAATTTTGTGGCCCCCCCTGTAGGGTATGCAATAGATTTTTTGTGGCAGGTCAAGTAAAAACTGTATTTTTGAATGCTTATAACTCGGCCATATCCTAGTGGATTTTCGAAAGATTTGGTGCGTTATGATCGAAAAGAACAAGCGCATCGACCTGTAACAAAATATTAGGGGGTCATCTAAGAACCCTGGACTCTCATAAACTGGAAGATCGATTCTGATGTCCTTTGGCCAGATGATAGCCGAATACATTTTTTTGAGATAGGACTCGTCTTTATATTCAAGGATATAGCCGAGCTAATGCCTATTTTTTGTTTACAAAAAAAGAAAAACTCAGCTTATCGTCCTTCGGCTTGTATATATTTTTCAATGGGAGGATAGGGGCCACTTACTGCCCAAAGGTAATCGCGATAAGCCTTCAAATGGCAAAGTTAGTCTGAAGTTTTCGATTTTCTGGCTAAACCCCTTAGAAAAATTGAGGTGAAACTGTATGTCGAATCCTGGAAATCCTTGAATGACAATCGATAGTCCTGCTCCCCACGAGTTCAACAAGGTGTATTCTGCTGATATCCGTAAGATTCTGCCCAAGCTATCGCCAATAATAGAATGTCCTGTTTAAATAAAAAAGGCATATCTCAATAGTCCTTATCATCCAATTCAAAATAATTATATTAGGACGAAGGAGAAGTTATCAAAACAGCTAAGCAAACAGGACCATTTATTACACACAAATAATCATATAGCTCGGTCATATCCTTTCGTATCCTGACGATTCCCGTGACAATCAAACTGTATTGACTACGACTACCAACTGGCCAAGGGACAGCCCAGTTGTCCTTGTAGTTTTCAAGATATCAAGGATTTTGGTTTCAGTATATTTCCTAGCACATCGCGAAAATCTTACCAAGTCCATGATTCTTAGATAACCCCATAATGTTTTAATGCAGATCGATGCAGTTGGTCCCTACGATCCAAACGGACCATGTCCTTCAAAAATCTGCAAGGATATCGGCGAGCTATGGCTATTTTCCTAAAAAGGATATTTATACAAAACTGGCCATAGCTTGGGCATTTCAAAAACTTTCGGCATGTCCTTTGACTATTCAAATGTTCTTGTCTTGCCCATTCAGAAAATATAATTAAAAGGACGAAAGTCCTTCAAACAGCCAAGTTATAGGGACATAGGTTTTTGACATTGAAATAGCTACATCTCAACGGTATCCTTGCATATCCTGACAAGTCCTGTGTCAAACAACTTGTATGGACTAGGACTATAAACTGACCAAAGGACAACAAAATCGTCCTTCTGGTTGCAGAAATATGGCTACTTTTCTAAAAAAGACATTCTTTTTATAGCCATATATCGGCCATATCCTTTAGGATATCAAAAGGATATACCTTTCTGAACTCGTGAGGAGCAGGACTATCGATTGGCATTCAAAGATTTCCAGGATTCGACAAAAAATTTCACTAAAATTTTTTACAGGGGTTTAGTCAGAAAATGGCCAAAAATCGAAAAATTCGGGACTAACTTTGCCATTTGAAGGACTATCGGGATGTCCTTTGGACGGCAAGTAGTCCTTACCCTCCCATTTAAGAATATACAACCCGAAGGACGAAAGTCCTTCAAACAAAAAAGTTTTAAGGACAAATTTTAATAAAGAAAAGAGGCCATAACTCGGCTGTATCTGTATCTCGGCTACATCTCAACGGTATCCTTGCGTATCCTGTCAGGACATGTGTCAAAATAATTGTACTGACCAGGCCTACCAACTGGCCAAAGGACATCAAGATCGTCCTTGTAGTTTCGGAAATATAGCGATTTTTCTGAAATTTTGTGTTTTCAGTCAATTTTCCTTGCGGCCCGCGACTGAAAAATTACCAAGTCCAGGATTCTTAGATGACCCCCTAATTTTTTGATGCAGTTCGATGCAGTTGGTCTCTACGGTCCTAACGCACCATGTCCTTTAAAAATCTGCAAGGATATGGCCGAGTTATGGCTATTTCTTTCCTCAAAATACCCTTTTATCTCTCTTATGACATTTTTGATTCAAATGTGTTTTTATCTTTTCAGATTGAAGGATTTAAGGACTCTAATCGATTCTAAGGACTTTTACGAATCTAACGAGGCTAATCCTTCCAGGATCGGACGTATTTTAAGCCTGATATAGCCATTTGTTAAGTTAAAATCAAAAATAAAGTTAGTTCTAACAGAAATAAATAATAAATTTGAAACTATTAAACAAAAAGCCTGTAAATGAGCAGCAACTGCTGTTTAACATAACTCATTTATGCGTAACATTTTTGCCCCTTGCGGGTATGCAACAAAATTTTTTATTCGGAGATTTTCGTCGACCTTCTGGGCATTTCTGTTCGCCTGGTATTTTTGCAGAATTTGAGTACCAATGGGGGGCCCAACTGCCGATTAGGGCGCCCCTTTCGGGTATGCAACAGAAAATTTTCGGCCGCTGAAAAATTTTATCCACTTTCTGGGCATTTCTGTTCGCCTGGTATTTTAGCAGAATTTAAGAAAAATCTCGGTAGCCAGCGGCCGCCAACGGACGCCCCTTACGGGTATGCAACAGATTGCAATTCCATATCCCTTGGAAGTAAAAAAACGGGAAATTGTTTGATAATTATTTATTTTTGTTAATATTAACAAATTTGCTGTTTTATGCATGTATTTTCGTTTTTACACTTAATGACTATATCTGGCTTAAAATACGTCCAATCCTGAAGGGAATAGCCTCGTTAGATTCGTAAAAGTCCTTAGAATCGATTAGAGTCCTTAAATCCTTCAATCTGAAAAGATAAAAACACATTTGAATCAAAAATGTCATAAGAGAGATAAAAGGGTATTTTGAGGAAAGAAATAGCCATAACTCGGCCATATCCTTGCAGATTTTTAAAGGACATGGTACGTTAGGACCGTAGAGACCAACTGCATCGAACTGCATCAAAAAATTAGGGGGTCATCTAAGAATCCTGGACTTGGTAAATTTTCAGTCGCGGGCCGCAAGGAAAATTGACTGAAAACACAAAATTACAGAAAAATCGCTATATTTCCGAAACTACAAGGACGATCTTGATGTCCTTTGGCCAGTTGGTAGGCCTGGTCAGTACAATTATTTTGACACATGTCCTGACAGGATACGCAAGGAAACAGCCGAGTTATGGCCTCTTTTGTTTATTAAAATTTGTCCTTAAAACTTTTTTGTTTGAAGGACTTTCGTCCTTCGGGTTGTATATTCTTAAATGGGAGGGTAAGGACTACTTGCCGTCCAAAGGACATCCCGATAGTCCTTCAAATGGCAAAGTTAGTCCCGAATTTTTCGATTTTTGGCCATTTTCTGACTAAACCCCAGTAAAAAATTTTAGTGAAATTTTTTGTCGAATCCTGGAAATCTTTGAATGCCAATCGATAGTCCTGCTCCTCACGAGTTCAGAAAGGTATATCCTTTTGATATCCTAAAGGATATGGCCGATATATGGCTATAAAAAGAATGTCTTTTTTAGAAAAGTAGCCATATTTCTGCAACCAGAAGGACGATTTTGTTGTCCTTTGGTCAGTTTATAGTCCTAGTCCATACAAGTTGTTTGACACAGGACTTGTCAGGATATGCAAGGATACCGTTGAGATGTAGCTATTTCAATGTCAAAAACCTATGTCCCTATAACTTGGCTGTTTGAAGGACTTTCGTCCTTTTAATTACATTTTCTGAATGGGCAAGACAAGAACATTTGAATAGTCAAAGGACATGCCGAAAGTTTTCGAAATGCCCAAGTTATGGCCAGTTTTGTATTAATATCCTTTTTAGGAAAATAGCCATAGCTCGGTAATATCATTGCAAATTTTTGAAGGGCAAGGTGCGTTTGGATCGTAGAGACCAACTGCATCGATCTGCATTAAGAAATTATGAGGTCATCTAAGAATCATGGGCTTGTAAAATTCCAAACGCGGCGTAAGACAACACAATATCCCAGATATCTCGGATACTAAGTACTTAGACGCTTTTAATGTCCTTTAGCCAGCTTATAGTGCTGGTCTATGCGAGCTTTTTGGCACACGATTTGTCAGGATATGCAAGGATATGTCTGATTTTTGGCATACATAAATAACTTTTCCGCTTGGCTCCTTAAAACACAGGCGCAAAAAATAACAAAACAAAAGCCTTGATATTCTGTAAACTACTAGGATTTTTTCGATAGGATTTGGGCAGTTTACAGTTTATAGCCCATGCGAGTTGTTTGACAAAGGACTCGTCAGAATCAGCAAGGATACGGCTGAGTTATCCGAAAAAGGATTTTCAGATTAACACAAATATGAGTTCGCTTAACAAGCGTTGCTATAATTATTAGCATACAAAATTTATCGATTTCTTGAATGTGTTACGTTCTGTTAATTACGTCATACTACGGTCTAATGGGGTGAACTAACAGGAAATGAAGTTTCCATATTGCAAAGCTGACCAAAAATTGGTGCATAGCAAATACAGCAGGCGGACGATCATCAGACCAATGAGCGTTAAGCAATAAAAATTCCAGTGAGCGCAAGGCATATGTATGTGGGAGAAAGTAAGTAAGAAGAGCAAGCGAACGATCTCGAGAAGAGTTCGCACTCAACAAATAACCAATGAGCGTTAAGTATGAGAAATGCATGTGAGCAACTACACGATCAATATTCGTACCGACCAATGAGCTCTAAGCACCAAATGTTCGCATTAGAGGGATGCATATGTATGTATGTATATGAAGGGCAGCTCAGAAAATAACATATAAGTAAGATTCAAGTGCGTAAACTTGGTATGGAGGCTCTTCAATACTACAAAACTGATTAAGAATATTTTACTTTTGTCTTCGCTCGGGTACGATTCGAATCGTTCATCATTTTTAGTGTAGCTATTTAAATGAATATCCTGTTGTCCTTTGGCCAACAAACAGTGGGTCTCGCGCCTACTTAAAAAAGGTAGGCCATATTTAATTATCATAAAATAGAATGGTGGCCTTCAGAGCTTAACTAGTTTATGGCCACCATTCGAATATTGGCCCAGCAGCTTGCTATTAACCCCGGGCCAAAGGGCGACCACTTCAAAAGCCGTTCACTAAGGGCGTTACTCATTAGTCGAATGGCCCCTGGGCCGGAATGGTAATTTGATGCTTTATTGACTTGACGGAGGCACGACCTCTCAAATTGCCTGCCTATTAATAGTCGAAACACTTTAAAATTAAATGCAAATTTGCCAAAGAAGCAACAATCGAGTACGGAAAACGGGAAAACTCGTTTATCATTTCTAGCCGCAGTCGACGGCTTGACAGCCCTCTTAGATAACGCCCAGAATGGGTTAAGGTGTGGACAAAAGTTTAATTCAAATATAAAGTATTCCTCTCAATTCGTAACTACGCAACGAAATTAGATCAAAGAACAGAAAGGAAGATAAAATCTTTACAGATTCTCTGCTTGAGAGACGAAACGTAAATTGATTGCCGCTGGGAAATCGACGCTGGCTGATTAAAATATGTAAATTTCATAAAAATGCAGAAATATTTAAGTTCTTATCTTTCCCCTATTCCAGAGGCAGCCACCCAAAATAATGAGGCAAATTATGAGAAATCGAAACCGAAATCGAACCAAGGGAATATCCACTCTATGGGCTATTTGGTAAACATTTCAAGTAACTGCCCAATTCGGCTTCCAATTCCAATTGCTGTCTTTCGCCTATCGATGGCAACCCATCTCTCTGTGCTGTCCCTGATTGCCAGTCGCGATTTCCAGAGTAAACTTCGGTTCCGTCCACTGCCTCCACCCACTCCCACTCAAACTCCCCGCTCTGTTCGTCTAAGACCCGTAAACAGTTGGAAGACGTTGCTAACAAGTCTAAGCCGCTTGCCACGAAGCAGCCGCAAATAATACACAGATAGCAAAACAGAAGGGGAAGCCGCAATAAAAAGCCAGTTATGGAGATGGGCTTGGGATGTGGCTCTGAGGGAAGCGATTGCAATTGCGATTGCGATTGAATTCAAATTCCGATGTTGCACTTCAAAGTCGAGTTGAAACCGAGACGAGTGAAAACCTGCTGAAGTGAGTTTCTCGTCCGTCTCAATCTCAACCTCAAACCCTTTCCCTTCGTCAGTTCTCATCGGTTTATCCTGTTAAGCTCGTTTGCCACGGCGCCAGTCGAGTGGAGTTACCCATTCAGCGCACTCCTTGAGTTTGTTTTGCCAACTGTGAGGGCGTGGCAGAAGCAGAGGTAGCTGAAGCATGAAGGCCATTCGTGGATGCGAATGTGGTGGCTGCTTCTCTTTGTTGTCGCCTTAAATATTTCATTGATGTCATTTCGACAATGGTCCAATGTTCACTTGGCTGCTCTGCTCTGCTCTGCTCAGCTCTGCACTCCTTGAATGTTGAATGTTTTATTGCTGGCTTGTTGATATTTTTATCATCCTCCTTACGCAGCTCTTTATCCTGTTTATGGCTGTTTACAGCGCTTTAAATGTTGTCCTTCAAACATTGTTCTGTTGTTGTGGTTTAAAAGCTCAAATCAAATCAAATTTGATACGCCTCATTTGTGGCAATTACTTGTGGCCAGAACTTGGGAGTGAGAAGGAAATAGAGTCGTAATATTCATGACTTTAAGGGTTAAGAGGGGGAAGTCCTTCACACGAGTTGACCAACATAAATATTTATCTATTCAATTGCATAAAGTTTCTCAAGTTATTCTCTGGCCACGTTCCCAGCTCGTGGGTTCCGTTCCTTTGTGCGCCGATAAATTGAACAATTTTCCATTTATGCGAAATGCACTTACAACTTTTTACCTCACACACACACACACACACGCACTCGTGTGCTGGCACGCAGGACTTCTTTTGTGCAGGACACTTCTTGCCTGTTGTTCGCATCCTTTAATAAACTGCTTGCATAAAGAATTGGGCGCAGATAAAAAGTATGGCAAACATGTTCCACACAAAACTTTGCCATACACTGGGCCCCATTATCAAAATGCTGCCATGGTCCTGATTACGAGAATCTCTTTTAGGCTTGAGAGGCAGGCGCATGAAACTGTTCGAGAGTTTCTCATTTTGCTGCTGTTCGTTGAGAATGCAACGCGCTGCAGCTGACCAGAGAAATATGTGCAGCCGAAGGTTAATGGAAAGTAGCTGTAGTAATAGGTATTTGCTATGCATTTTTCATAAACATAATTCCATTTTTTTGCCAGTGTCCAATTCTTTGTTGCTTCCTCTTGCTAGTTCCTCTTGGGCGTAATTTATTTTTCCAGTATTTTGGCTTCATTTGTATTTGTTTGTTGACTTTGTTAACTTTGCTGTTGCTTTACATAAATTTCAGTTGAAGACTTTTTCTTGCATTGCGGAAATTGTCGTGAATAGTTCATTTCAGCATTTTACGTTTTGCGGGGATTTATTTTTGCTTGGATCTTTTTTCTACATTTCTTTTTTGGCATGGAAAACTTTGTCCAAGCAGCTGCGATTGCGATTGCCATTTAGTTGTTTGTTGTTGTATCTGTTGGCAGTTGGTAGCAAAAATAATTTCCCCTTTATGCAGATGAGTCCTGTTCGCCGTGCTCGCCATGGTCCTTTCTCGTAATGAAATTGACATCTTGTGTCGCGATTTCAAGCTGATTTTGTGCCCTTGCTTTCCCTTTATTTCTTTTACAGCGCATTCTGTGGTCCTTGTTTTCCCATCAGCATTAAAAAATAGTGCCGGTATCTTTGCATGCCTCGCAATTCAATTTCCGCATTTTGTTTAGCTCCTCGGCACGACCTTTTAATAAATGAGAAAAGAATCGCTTGATTCCCCTAATAAGCTCTATAAATGCAGGACTTTTTCTTTTTAATATAACTATTAATATATGTTGATTGGGAATTCATCATTTTGAAGTTATAATTGCAATTTTTGCAATTTTGGCCTAGGTCTGTCCTCCACACTGAAAGTTATTTTAAAGCCAATTTTATCTTTTACCCTTGTTCTTGTCTATTTTAATTTGGCACATAAAATAATTACATTTATAATTTATTGCGTGCTTTTAATTGTTAAGATTGTATTGAAAGCTAAAATTTGTTTAGTTTGATATTATGATCTTTATAAAATATATTTAATATATTACAAGATACCCTGAACTCAGCCTTCAGCCCGCTTGAATGAGCAGGATATTCTGCAACACATCAATTGACCAATTCGGCGCACAGCAAAAAGAGCAGGCACACGATCATAAGAGGCTTTCGCAGAAAAGTATTTCTTTTAGTGGCCAATGAACGTCAAGCAATGAAATGTCGTGTGAGCGAGATGCATATGCATTTGTGAGGCCGCTCAGAGAAAAGAGCAAGCATTCGATTATACGAGGAATTCGCACAGAAGCATTTCTTTTGGTGGCCAATACGCGTCACGCTTTGAAGCTCTTATCTATGCGATGCATATGTCTTTGTGAGAGGGCATAGCTGACAACAAATATTGGCTCTCTGAAAATAGAGCAAGCTCACGATCATACGAAGAGTTCGCGTAGAGACAGTTCTTGTACAATGAGAGTTAAGCATTACAAAATTGTTGTGATATCGCTTAAGCAAACTCGCACACACAAACTAGCATATTTGCGAGTAAGCGATCCAGAGAGGAATTCGTTTTATCTAATCATGCTTATGAGTGTTTGCTTGTGCGCTATCTACCTGAACTGCACCTTACTCTCACGAATAGCTAATGATTAACGCTCACAGGCCACAAAAAGAATCGCTTCTGCACAAACTACTTGCATGATCGTTGGCTTTCTCTATTTTCTGAGTACCGTCAGAAATTCATGTGCATCGCACTGTCACGCATTTTTAATGATTAACGCTCATTGGTCCGTACAATAAATTCTTGCTCTATTTTCTGAGCGCCTCACAAATACATATGCATCGTGATTACACAAAATTGTTTTGCTTAACGTTTATTGGAGAACTCCCCGTATGATCGCTTACTCTATTTTCTGAACACCGATATTTTTCGTTTGCTATGCGGCCTCACAAATATACAAATGCACTCACAACAATATTAAGGCTTAGCGCACATTGGTTCGTACAAGAAATGCTCCTGAGCAAATTTCTCGTAAGGTCGTTTGCTTGCTTTATTTGCTGGGCGCCCAGGCATCGCAATCAAAGGAATTGGTATTGCTTAATACTTGTTGTTCCCCACAAAAATTGTGAAGTGCGAAATTTTCCTATGATAGAGTTAATAAATGTTGTTAATCCACGTCAAGTTATTCGATTTGAGAAATATCAATTGTGTTATAAAGTCTGTTTCTTGCTACCTGTTCTCTACCCCATTTTGTTTCTTTCTCTCTCTTTATCGCTCCACCTCTCTCATAAACCATGGCAACACGGAAACAATGAGCGGCACTTGCATTTTTTTATTAAAAATTGAAAAACTGTAATGAAAAATGCATGAAGCAGATCGACGGCGGGCTGCGTTTGTGAACAATAATTAAATTGAAAATGACAAATTTTATTAATTATTATGCTTTTCTTTTTTGTTTTACATTCTCAATGACTCGAAAATGTTGTGTGCAATAAAAAATGAATAAATTAAATGGCATAACAAATAAAATGCGGTCGCAATATTCAGTTCAATCGTTTCGAAGTTACCTCACACTTTGTGCACCGACTAATTGTTTATTAATGTGATGCACTTTATATACTCTGTAATCTGTAAGTGGTTAAATGGGGTATAGTGGACTTCTACGATACTACAAATAAAATGAGTGCTTGGGAGGAAACGCCAAAATGTCGAAATGGTCGTGCCCGCCTCACTCTCAAAAACACGAAGAATCATTTAAAGCCGCGGACTACAATAGTTTTGATTGTATTTTTTTTCGAATATGTCGTTGTTTCTTTTTGAATGATTAAAGCTAAATTTATGCGATCGGATCTAATTTGATCAAAATTAGGGTATGACTTTCTGATATTTGCCATTAATTGTTAGTGAAATAGGAAGGTGCTTAAATATTTTTCAGTTGAGCATACAGAAATTAAACTTTTAATATTTACCTGAAAGAAAGCCACGCTCAGCACTTCATAATCATCCGATAGGGTATCTTTTAATCAAGCATTGCCGACTGGAACTTACCCCCTTGTTTTATTATGTATTGTTAATATGTGTTGTTTGTGGTGCTTGTTGTTATTGGTGTTTGTTGTTTTTTTGGTGTTGTTGTTGTTGTTGTTGTTGGTGTTGTTGTTTTTGTTGTTGGTGGTGGTGTATTTCGTATTTCAATATGGTTGGCAATTAAGCATTTCACACATATTCACGTATTTGTTGTTGATTTTTATTTTAATTTGCTCATTTCGGAGTCGGGCTTATTATATCAATTTATATGCCATTTCCTTTTTGCAGTTCCAACTCATTTCGTATGCTTAAATACAAGTTACATAGTTATATATATTTAGTGTATATATATTTTTATATATTTATATATATATATACGTATATATTTATAATTGTATATATGTAATTTTTTTTTTGTGTCGTTAGCTTTGCAATTATTCGTAACTCATTAATATATTTGATATTTAACATATTTCGTTTTGTATTGAAAGCAACACAACTTTATAGCTTAAATGTTAAACATTCTCATTAAGTATATTTTTTTTTTACACTAATATATAAGCTTTAGTTACAATTCACTTACGTTAAGGCTTAAATATTTTAACAAATAGATGAGTAAAATGAAACAAAACTATATTAAATATCCAGTTTGCGCATTCGATTGGGTTATTTAGCATTATAAGCAGGGTCTATTCAATGGCAATTATACCTGATTATATTCAGATTAAACTCTGATAAACTGAAGAATAGAGGTTATTTGGCAAAATAGTTTTTCATGGTTCCAAGGCAGAATATAATTCATTGAAATTAACTTCTGGAATGCGCTCACAGTTTTAGGCATTATTATAATGATTTCTTATGGATATTTTTTCTCTGAGGAAGTTTAAGGTATGCTGGATGTTTTGGAACATGTTTTAATAATATGACATATTAGATATCGAAGATTTCGTGACTGAAGCCTATTAACTCTACAACACATATACATTCATCTTGAGACCAGCATCAGCTATAAAGCGCTTGACCATAGACTACCTTAAACAGCCTATTTATAATACCTTCGATTCATTCCAACATATAAGAGTCTACAACTTTGCTTCAACTGAACAATGCAATTATAATTAGGTGCACCAAAACGTAAATACACACAGTCGAACATCCTTTGTTTATGTATATATTTATGTACTCTAATTTAAATGATTTTTATTCTCGATATGTTGTTGTTTTTGCTCTAACAATACTTGTATAATTCGCATTTTAATGTTGCATACCTTAAGGCATAAGCATGACAACTATCTGGTGCGTGTGTGTGTTTGTGTGAGGGTGTGTATAAAAATGCCATCAGCGTTTAACGCACAAATATATATATCATCATATAATTATTTAAACTCTTTGACTCTAATTGAGTGCATCAAATTGGTTTATATACTTTTTTGTTTTATCTTCTCATCTTTAAGCACAGCATTAAAGCAAAATTAAATTGCAATTGTTTACCCTTGTGAAAGTTTATAAATTTTAACTATACATATATATATATATTTATATATATTTACTATATATGATAAGCTAATATATTTGTTAGGTTCACACACAGGGTTGCCACATTATTATTGCAGCAAGCTCTATTTGGCTTAGTTGCGTTATGCGTTTCGGGGGCGGATCATAACTAGGGTCTTGTTGACTAGGGGCTATACGAGTAGCTTGTATTACTTAGTGTATATATATATATATATGTATCATTCATACGCTAGATGAAAGCCTTACATCAAATAGATATGTAGCTCAAAGTTAACATACACTTAAACTAAGTCTTGCACAAACCTCTCCGCGCACCGTTATTAACAATGTTGGCAGCAGAGCGAGCCACGCTATGGCGACAGCGCAGTTGGCGTCGCTGTCGGCGCTGCTGACGACGGCGGCGCCAGGGGAATTGCCATTTCCGGTTACCGCATTCTGCGTTTTATCTAGGAAGGATTTTTGTTCTGATAAACCGATTTCATTCAAATTCGATTGATAACGCGTATCTTTTTGTTAATTGTTTTTTTTTTTTGATGATGATGATTGGGACAGCACAAGAAAAAGAGAGAGTAAGATGGGAATAAAAAGAGAAACAGACAGAGATATAAAGCAAATGTTTTGTGGTAAAACAAATAAGGTGCCAGGTGATCTATTGAGTATTCTCGATGATGGGCCAAACTCCTTGGATACTTACTTTTATCCTGACCGTAATTGGAACGCGTGGCATCGGAATTGCCATAGCCGATATTATTGCTGCCGCCTTCGCCCCAATGCGATTCGCTTGTGTAGAAGCCCGAAGAGGCAGTCGTTGGCGGATAAGAAACTGTAAAGTGAATTAAGCAGTGTATTTAGTTCTTCATAGTTAATTAAGAGTTAGGGAAGTTGTTTTTACTATTAATATATGTATATAATAACAATTGCCATTCTGCTTTTAATCCATCTATCTGTCTACCTATCAATTTAGTCATCTGGTTTTTTCATAATTATAGACTTTCCTTTCTTCTCGCTCTGTGTTTCTTTTTATTCAAACTAATTTGATTGATTTCTGTCTATAAGAATTTCCCGCATATTTGTATACGACCCACTGTCAGGTCTCTCCCACATTAAGGTTTTTCTTGTCGTCGCACACATGCTCAACTTTGCATAAAATCGCACAACTTGTGGAGTTTATTTTGTTGTATTCTGTTTTTCTATTTTTTAGCATTTGTTGTTTATGATTCATTTACATATTTTTATTTTTATACATCAGACAAATGTGTTTCAATATTCTTTTGTTATTGCTTTTACTGGAATTTGCATGCAAATTGATCAATTTTAGCATTTTCAGCACGTCTCATTTCATTTGATTTTTTATGCTATTTATTTAAAATTCGTGCTGTCTGTTATTTTGCGACTCACTCCACATATTTTGTATGCCCGAGTTGATATAACAAAATGCTAATTATTTTGTATTTTCATTATGTGACAATATGCACAATTTCCAACAGCCCGGCCCTGCGCCGCCCAGCCCTACGCACCAACTGCAATTGTACATATAATTAAAGCTCTCAGCTTTCCCGGTTACATCGTCCATATTTTCAATTAAAGCATGTTTTAATTATGCCACCCAGTAACATTTTTCCGCACGTTTGTCCAAAGCGCAAATTCAGTTTTACCCCAAACTATTTTAAATATGCAAAATTATTTTGAGCGTCAAACGGTTTTTGGTCAGGATAGTACCTATTATATGAAATATTGAATATTCAGTTTACTCGGGAATCTCATTAGAAACTAATTAAAACATTGATTTCTGGCCATTCTAAATTGAATAGGATATGTTGAAATTTTAAATATATTGGCCTCTTTTCCGTGCTTGGTATTGAATATGAATAATTGATTACGCTACTTTCTATTCTCTAGCTATTATTTTGCAAATAGAGTCTACAGTAAAGGTTTTCATTATCGTACATTTTAATTCCAGTTGGAGACGAGCTAAGGGTAATGTGTTGGATCTCAGAAGGAATGACGCAACTGTTAAATTAATTAAATTGAATCTTATAATATTTGCAATAACAAAACTAGTTCAATATTTTTATTATTACTTAACTTGCACACTTAAAAGTCTAGCTGCAAGTCTAAATTTAAGCTGTTCTCTCTTTTCACTACAAATAATCTACCTAATTTTAATCCTAGTAAGTCAACAAAAATAAAATCTAGCTCACATCTAATGAGCTTTGAAGCGTAGCTTTAAGCCGAATTCAGCTAATTAAGAGATCCATATCCAAGGAGCAGGCTGAGAGAAAATACCATGTAGCCCACCCATATTGAAAAAGTGCCGCATTGGCCTTAACACGAATTGACAAATTTCAGCCATTTAGCCATTGAGGCGAAAAGCAGAACAAAGAAAATCTCAACCGCAATGGCCCAGAAAGGGTCGGACTTAATTGCCTGGCGCGCTGCTGACCAGGAACGTGAACTTTTCAGCGGAATGGGAGACTAAGACGAATGCTTAACACCTTGCAATGCCCTGCTCGGTGCTTGGCCAAAACCAAAGGCAGCGGACCTGAGCCATAATCAAGCCACTGGAAATCAAGTCACGTGCTCTGTGCCTGAGGTGTGGAATTGGCTGGGCAGGGTTGCCGGATTGTCCTGACAGAAGTTTTTACCCGTAAATGAGGGGTGGAGGAGGGGGGGGGGAGGGGGGCGTAGAGGGGCCTTGACTGAGTTTTTGACTCACACATGTGCTGCAAACCTCAGGCAAACTTAAATTTTATTTCACATGGATGGAAGGGAAAGTGTGTAACTTTTCTTTCTGCAACGCTTCAATTTTGTAGCTCAAGTTGTGAGTTAATATCACGTTTTAAGTTTAATTACGTGATGGATTTGCTGAGGGCAGCTTTAAGTTGCCGAAGGTTGAACGAAATGGCATTTCTTTGCTCCACAATTAACGAAATAATGTGCCCGAGTCTAATTATAAATAATTGTTAAATAAAGTTTAAGCGCATTAAAGCAAGTCGAAAACTGAAGATTAGGATTACAACAAGGATTTGCCAAATATTGAATAATAATTTCTAAGTATATAAGCAATTTTCTGGATCACATTATCATTATATATTAAATCGTATAAATGCCTTTCTCTTCGATCCTAACGTCAATATGCACGCCATACCCAGATAGACGGAACTCTCATTGCTTACATGAAAACAACATTTCATTCATAAAGCCATTTTCTTTTAGATAAACAAAGAAAATAGTACTCTAAAAACTTATTTAAACGCTGACTTTGCATTCCCACCATAAACTGAACCAGGCTGCGTATGCGCAACATATTTTGGTCTGCCTCGCGAGGCTTTTCCTTGTCAGTTTTCGCAACTTTTGTTTGGCAAACAATTAAAAATGCATTTGATGGCAACTTTTTGAACAAGCTGGGGAATTGCATGACGAGAGTGCTGAGTGCTTAAATGTGTCGCACAATTTTAGATGCCTCGAGTTATTTACTCACCATATAATCGTATAATGCCATCCGTTTCGCCTCTGGGATTCTTGGCCACGCATTTATAGATGCCATCATCCCCGCTGCCGACATTTATAATAGTCAGCTTCATGTGCGTTTTGTAAGCGGGCACGCCGACGCTTGATTCGACTCTGGAAATGGATGAAAATTCAAGATGAAGAATGTTAGTCCCTAATGCTTACTATGTAAAGTTTACTTAAATAATAGAGAATTTGTCGTTTACTAACTTGTATTTATACGAATCATGTATGATTGGTCCCTCGCCGCGTGTCCAGTAATTCAAGGATGTTGGATGCGCCTCCGTAAAACATTCGATGGTAACATTGAAACCTTCGGGAGCGCCAACCAATTGATGTGGTATGAGCAACATGGGCGGAACTATAAAACGAAATGCATTATTTAGAGCATTATTAATAACTTTGTCTTGACTTGCAAATATGTAATATTTTAGATATATAGATTATTTTTTAATAAAGAGTAGAAGCTTCTAACTTGGCATATCTTAACATTGTCCTGTTGTAAGATCGATCAGAAAATGTTCTATATTTTCTATTCTATAAGTTTCTATGGAGTGTGTAAATAGCGTCTATAGATTTTTAGATTTTAGAACAGCGCACCCTACACAACTACCTCGTATGCTTTGCTTGGAAGAGAAAAACGCTGCTCAAAAATGACTGGAAAAAGGCGGAAAAGGAGTTTTAAAATAATTACAACTTGGGCAGTCTACCGTAAATTTTGGAAATTTATAAGTGAATAATGGTATTTTTCGAATATCTAAGCTATTTAATTTTTTTTTTCTTTTTTTGTAACTGTATCTATAGCTAATTCTATAAGCTTTCCAATAATGTAAAACCCAGCTCAAAATACGTTCTTCAAGAATTTGTTGCGGTACAATCACTAAAAAATCGATGTTTCATCAAGCGCGGCTACTTGAATTGATTAATTGAATTTCGTTGCAGTCTATAATTTAACTATTTTAATTAAGTCATTCCATATGTTCTGTATTCTTTTAATAGAGTCCCTCAGTAAACATTGCTAACCGTATCAAATGTGTTTAGCTATATTTTAATCAAAAATTACTATTATATTTAAGCATCTTTGTAGTAAGCTAATTATGGGGAGACCGTCGGCATTGTCAACTTTCCGCATTAATTCTGACAGCTTGCAACTTTCAATGCTTTTGTTTACTGCGTTACCCAACACTACAGCGTACATAATGTCCAGTCAGCTCACTTAACCCCTTGACAAGTTAATTAAGTTGCGCATTTTGTCACACTTAAGCCGCGTGACACTTAATATCCTTTTGATTAAGGATATTAAAAAAAAAAAGCGAGAGAGTGGGAAAAGGTGTCCGACAAACCCGTCAAAAGGCAGCAATAAGCGCAGATACTTGAGGCCACTTTTCATAAACATAAAAACGACGCTAATTTGTGTCCAAGCTGATTAAAATTTCAATTGGCTTGCCACAGCAGGGAAGAAAGAGAGAGAAAGAGAGAGTGGGAGAAGTGGAAAACCCTTCAGGTTTGAGCCGCAGCTTAATTGCCAGCTCGTGGCTCGCATAAATCAACAAAAGGTAAAAGAGCCAGCGAAATGACAAGGCAAACCCAATGAATGAATGGAGGAACCATTGTGTATAGAGTCAGGACTTTTTATGCTCAGCCTAATGATGATGACAGGCTCACGGATCTCGCAGACAATAACTACAGCAAATGCAAAAAAATATTCATTAGTGGCCATTGAGGAGCAGAGAAGAAAAAAACAGCTGCTGCTCGCATTTAATATCTTAATTAAAAACATGCGCTGTAGTGCATCTGAAGTGTGGCAAAAGTTCTGTCGGGGATTCTGTACTATGTTTTTTATATGGATTTTGGGTGCACAATGACAAATTTTTGTATAGGTGTCTTTATATAATTACTAGCGAGGCGCAGGACTCAACAGATGCACACAAATCACAAATAGACTCGAAGAAACAGAAGAACAAAAAAAAACAAGCCAAACAAAATACTGAATAATGCTATTCATAAGATTTTTCATGAGCTGCGCTCGCTGAAAGAAAAATAGTTTTTCTTTTTCTCTTGTTACCCACTTTGAATCAGACTTGTGTATATCTATGTGTGTGTGTGTGTGTGTGTGTGTGTGTGTGTGTGTGCCTGTGCGAACTATGGCGAACTTTTTACTCCTGGGCAAAGAAAAGGCGTAGCCTCGTTGCCTCGTGTACTCTTGACTTGTCTTGGCTCTCAATTTAAATGAAAATCAGTTGCATAAAAAATTATACTTAAGATCTGGCTCGACTTGCATTTGCATAAACCAAAGTCAGGAAGAAAAAATGTATATATAAATATATATATGTATATATATGTTGAACGAGCGAAATAACTTGAATGCATGCATAAATTGGACTTGAAACTTTGTTTGTCAATATGCAGCAGGAAGAAACTTATAAGTTTACCGAAATGAATTAAAGAGATTGTATGGTCAAGAGAGGTCGCTAGTTATGATGAAATAAAGTTATTCAAACTGTAAACCAAATAAAATCCGCAAGTTTTTTGGACCAAATTCTAGATTGCGATTCAGTAAAGGCGACTTACCATAACGCTAAGTAGAATTACAGATATTGATTATAAAAAAAAAAATTTATAAATTTGAGTGGCACTCTGCACCCGGCTAAAAGAAACTTATATATTGAGATTTTAGAAATTGTGGAGAATTGGGAAAAAGCATTTTAAAAATTAATGATAATCTAATAGAAAGACATCCAAGTGAGCGTGAAAAAGCAGCACATAAATTGTGTAATAGAGGAAAATAACAAAACGTACTACATGCTTGAAAATCGCATAGAAAGGCGGTCTCTAGAAAAGATTGAAATTTAAAGCAATTCAAGTATACACTTCTGAGATAAGCCTCCTTTATGTCTGTGTTCAAAGAAGTTTTCCTTTGCCTCCATCGAGTTCTCTACTGCAAGCTCTTTAGCTCGTGTTTATTTTTGTTCCTGCTCACTTTTAAGAGCACATGCTGTACGCAATCCTTTTGTCCACCTTTACAGTCCATTCACCTGTCCCATTTGGCCAATCGCAATGCAATCAGCTCACTGCCATCATCTTGTCCATTTGCCATTACACTAATTCCGCAAATATTGCGCCAACATCCTTTGGTGCAATCAAGACCACCTCTTCGCCAAACAATACCGTGGTACTTGAACGGTAATCCTTGACTGAGCCCGGCCCCAAACTACGCCAACCGTAACGAGGCTTCATTAACTGCTAATTTTCAAGTTGTTTACACTCAGCAATGGCACCTTGCAATTTTCTACAATCTGCCAGACAAAACTGTCACTCAGTGTCCACTCTGACTACTGAGGCGCAGGCACCAAACCACTCGGCAACCCCCTCGCTCTCGCTGTCGCCCTCGCCCCCGCCCACTCCCTTGTCTTCGCCCGCTCTAGTCCGCACTGCCTGGCTAAATTATTGTTGACTCAAGTCCTTTTTTCATTCAGCTACCCGACTCGCTGGCCACTTAGCAGCGTCGCTTGCTGCTTTCTTGTGTTCAGCTTTTACAATATTGTCGCCACTCAATTGTAATTTAAATCAGCGCCAAGAAATGTACAGGAAATGCTGGAAATGCCTGTCCTGTCACCATGTCGAGAGTACCTAAAGTCAAGTACATTAGTGTTTTCTTTTATATGCCCTGGCATTGGGTATTATCATTTTGTAGGCCACTTGAGCTAGAAAAAAAATGGATCGTTACATCTCATTTGGTTTCCAAGATATCCCTGGATTTAAGTCTTATATTATCTAAAAAAAATCTACTTTGGGCTTCGTTCTCCGCAATTTTAAGAGTCTAGTTAAGCAGAGTATGGAATCCATTTTTGAAATCGAATGCATTCAATATTTTTATATTTCAAAGAATATTTAAATGTTTATATAAATCGGATATCTAAAAAAAGGAATAAACAACTGAATTCGAATATCTCTTTTGAATTTAGTTGTCTTTAAGGCTCAAGATATACAAAAAAAATGAATAATAAATAATAAACACGATTTTCACAACAGATTAAAATAACATAAAGCAGATGTCGATACTATCGATACTGTTAACGATAGTTTTGCAAGACTACGAATGCGTGAACGCTAGAGTTTGCCATACACAGGCTCAGTTTTTCAACTATAAAACACACTTGTCTTTTTATTGCCCATATTTAGTCAAGAGAGCCAAGCAGCATGTTGTACATCCGCACTATGATTATATCCACAAGGATATTAAGACTTCGGCTCTCAGAATTTTAGCCTTTTTTTTTTAATTTGGTTTACAGCTTCTGCATTCACTTCGTGTCTTTGGAGATTTTGTGTGCAATTAGACGGCAGCAAACTGGCTTAAATGAAAGCCAGTGCAAATCAGTCATTGGCATTTTAAAGCTCTGCTAAGCACCGACAAATTGTATAAAAAGCCAAAAGAAATAATATGAATACTGAATATCTGGATTGCATACCAAATTAGCTGCTTAAGTTGCCGATTTGGTAAACCAAACAGCGAACGTTGCCTCGAGAAATCTTTTTTTATTTTTTTTTTTTGTATTTTTTCTGAAGTGGGACAGGTTAAGGGTCGTTCGCAGCATATGTTGTCCTTATGTCCTGCTGCTGCTGCTGCTGCTGCACAAGGCAAGCAAATCAGTATGCAGTCACAAATGTAGGAAACAAACTCGTTTACACACACACAAACACACACAAGCACACGCACGCACACTCACACACACACACGAGCACACACTAACCGGAAACAGTAGCTGAATTTGTTGCTTCCTGTTTGTTAAGCAACGCACGCCACAATAAATGTACAAACATAGAACAAAATATAGTAAAAAAAGAAATAAAACTAGAAAGCCAGAGAGAGAGAGAGAGAGAAAGAGAGAGAGAGATAGCACAGTTGTGTGTGTGTGTGTCCTGGCCAAAGGACATATGCAAGCTGTCACAGTTGTTTTAACAAATTGTTTGGGGAGCTTCTGCAAACTTTTTTTTCAGTGGATTGGAAATTTCTTTTGACAATTTTTTAAAATCAACGTACGATTTTATGCTTCCAATACAAAGTATATTTATCGAGCTATATGTCTGGGTTTATTGCGAAATGAAGACCAAGTTCAGAAATTGGATTTTGTGACTGCTGCTTCACAGGCTGCATACAAATTGCGTCTAAAAGACAGCTATGTATTAGTTTCGCTAATTGTGTTTATTGAGAGTGTCTGGCTGGGCAATTTTAGGTGTATACCGATTAAAGGGTGAGCTTTATAAATTGCCTGAAATGTGTTCAAATGTTATGCATGTGCTATTTCAACCATACTTAATAGTCAGAAGACGACATACCTCGAACTGGGTCTGCTTTTTGCAACACTGTTTTATACTTTCGATTTGTTATTAAGCACGTTTTTATAACCATATATTATACATATATTATATGTCTGATATAATGTTTAAAATTTTTAACAATTAAAGTTCCAATAAACTTTATTAAGATTAAATAAATTGCAGCTCTGCACTAGATGAGAGAACAATTTATGATAAAAATGCGGTTGAATTGTTTTTGCCGCAAACTAATTTTCTAAAAGGCTGCTGCATTTCTTACAGTGTATGCAGTATCCGAAGTTTGCTTAACCAGCCCAAGCACTCCATTGTACAGCCAATCTGTTTAGTTTCGTTTTGTTTTTTTTCTGGCCATTTTGAAGAAGTTTTTTCATATTTTCTACCAAATGTTACTTCTCGCTCTACAGCCCAGTCAATGCACATTTTTTGCCGTGTACGTCTGCAGCAATCAGGCATTTCGACTTACTTTTTTATGGCTTCGCTTCGCACACGTGTAATTTGTATTGCACTTTTTGTCGCTGTCCGGGGAGTCAGTGGCTGGCAAGGGGGTGTGGGTGTGCTGGGTACTTGTTACCGGGCTGTGGGCCTTGGGTAGTGGTTCCTACGGGTGGCCAAGGGTGTTGCCTGTTGGCCTCGGGTTTTGTTTGGCTGTCGGTCGGTTTGTTGTGTTAGCTGCCCAGCGAATGTCGTGCACAAAACCAAAATAGATTTATGCTTGCGGCATTTTTAAGTGACAGCAAACGAGCAAATTTTCTGTAACGTCCCGCCTACCCGCCAGCCCAACTGGCCGCCTGCCACGCCCCTCAATTGTTGCCCACTGCCCGCTGACATGACAGCGCACGGACAACATGTGATGTGACTGACTGTCGCTTGTAATAAATCTTGAAAAGAACCGCACACTGATTTGAACTTTATTTCCTTTTTTTGAGATTTCGGAAAACTGCGGCAACAGCTACAAGTGGCGCCTCAAATTGCAACCAGCCAACGACAGTGGGATCAAAGCGGAGTGCGGAGGGATATCGGAAAATTATAAGAAAAATTATATAATGCGGTCACCTTCAAATATCATATATTCCAGAAATATTCAGACTAGCCTGAAATTAAGATTCATTTTGTCTTCTGCTAAATAAGATACAGCTAAATTTACTAACTATTCAATTTCAAATAATTTGTTACCTATTTATCAGCCTTATATATAAACTTTCTTTACTTGGGCGAAGTGTTTTGGAAATTGAGACAAAAGTGGACGTTAGCTTCGTATTGAGAAGATATGATTGCTATTTAAAAAAAAAGTCAAAATGAATGGTTCTCTACCAAAAGCATTTTATATGTTATATATTTTGTTCAGTTCACGAGCCAAAATAAGCTGGGATACTTGTTTGACATTATTACTAACTATGAATGCCATATTTTAGGTTTTTGTTTTCACAAAGAGAAGCCAAGCATTGCATAAAACATCAATGTTCAAATTATTTCTATGGCAACAGAATATAAAAAGCAGTTTACACAGAGCTCACTAATTTGTGCTCAAATTCATATACAAACCAAACTATTTTCAGCTTATTGTCAAAGCCGGGCAAACCCTACATTTTTTTTTTGTCAATAGTAAGCTGAATTATTTGAACAGTTTGAAAAAAACCGCTAATGGTTACGTCAAAATTTATTTTATTTTAATTGAAGTCTGCCAAGTTATCGCGTGGTCATTGAATTTTAAAAATTCATAGGGCCTGCATCTTTGAGAGGTTTCTACGATATTTTTTTAATTCTAAGCACCATCAGAATCGCCAATTTCTGCCACTGTGCATGTTATGTGACCCGCTATCAGATCGAGTTTAATCCTCAACCGCGAAATGGAAATATGAGTTGCCCGGGACAACAGAACAAATAACACACAAACACTTGCGTACTCAAACACCTGTACACACTCACACACACTCACACACATGCAGGACACAAGCGGATTCTATACAAATGTAGAATTGAGTTTTAGCCATCAAACGATGTTGGTCAACACGTAACGAAAAATAAATTGAAAATCGTTGGGCACGGCCCAAACGCAATGCATAAACTGTAAAAGTGTGTTTAGTTTTTGCAAAATTTCTGCAATTTTTACAAATTTCACAATTTTTAACAACTTTGAATAGTTGTTTGTGTTAACAGAACTGTTAACGCTGCAAGTGCTTGGTAAATAGTCGTCAAAAAAAAATCTGTTCAGTTGAACGTAAGAATCACTTTATCATTTTCCTGCTGACAAACAGTCAAAGAGCAATAGTGAAAAGCTAACCCGTAGCCCCCGGCCCCCTGAAAATCCCCTCTGGCAGCCATTATACTCACAGTCCACGCTGACTTTGATGCGCTTGGAAACCGTTGGGGGTACGCCATTGGATGCAATGCAGAGATATGCGCCCATGTCCAGGCGTGAGATGCGGGTTATCTCCAGCGTGTCGCCCTCCCATTCATTCACTGCAACAAGAAATCAACAGAGAGAGAGAGAGAGAGAGCGTTAGAGAGAGAGAGAGAGAGAGGAGTAGAGAAGCTAAATGATTGATGCAGGCGATGCGAATGCTTCTCCACTGTCCGTTGCGTTTGCACTTACCTATGTGATTCTTATTGATGGCTATGCGCGAATTATCATCACGTTTCCATTTGATAATGGGTCGGGGACTGCCACTGGCCCGGCATCTCAGCGAAATGTTGGCGCCCTCGCGCACGATGACATCGCTGGAGCTCAGCGAATCATCGATATTTGGTGGCACTGTAAGCATGTAGCAGGTTTTTAAAGATGAGAGAAATGTGATGAGTATTCGGGCAACATAACACGGAATTATTTATGTAAAAGTATGGCAACTCTGCTTTATAGAGTTGTTGCTAACACACAATTGTTATAGCCATAATCCGCTTAAATCACAAACAATGCCCGGCCACATGCAACTGGTTATCATAAAACCCATTTAAGATTAAAGCGCCTACATTGCGTAATATACATATATATAGCATATAGCCACATTCATAATGCACACACATACATATATAACTATTGGCACCCCAATACAATGGAACTGAGCCGAAAGAGCTGCGCATAGCGGCAGCTTAAATAGGTGATAAATTTCATTGTTTGTGGGTGTCAACTGAGTGTGTTTGTGTGTGTGTGTGTGTGTGCAGCAGGATATTGCAATTGAAATGTTTTCGGTTCCAATTTTATCAGCTTTCAATATGCATTTCGTAATTATTTCAGTTATATTGTGCAATTGATCCCAGTGCACAAAATGTGCTATATTTTTGTATATATTTATAATGCAGATGCTTAAATCGAAACTTACAGAAAATTTGGCAACAATTTCGAGCCACTTAATGAGACGGGCCATGTTTAGAATGCTTTTCTTGCTTTATGTTAACTCTTTTAATCATTTTTAATCAGTTTATCAAAGCCTACAGCATATATAGAAAAGTAAACCCGGATTCTGGGCGACATATTGCAGATTTGCGATGTATTTCTAAGCTTAGCCAGATGGCTGGTCAATTGTTCCTGTGAGATGAATATACTACATATGATAAAGTTGTGTACTGTAATGAGAAATCTTAAAACCAAATACAGTTTGAGTATAAGAATCACATTTGTCAGAGCGACGCTTTCTATGACAGATATATTTATGTGCCTCTTATATGCTTGTGCCTAAGTAAGCTTTAAATCAAGAGAGATTTACGTGAGTATGATTCCAAAATTAAAAAAAAAAGCTTTAAATCAAGATTGAGTAAGTAAGCATGAAACCAGACAGACAGACAGCCATGACTGCAGATGCTGTTTAAGGTTCAAGCCCAAGGCCTAAGATATTTTTTTCGATGGGTTAAACATTTGATGGCAAAAATATTATAAACAATGCAAAAGTACAAATTTAAGACCAGGGAATTATATGTCAAAATCTCAGCAAAAAATAGCTAAATTAAAAGCGAGTTTTATGTGGCTGATGCAGATTAGTTGATTTCAACATTATTAAATTATTTTTTAAGCAATTAAATTTTAATCTTGTTATTTTAATAAATTTTCATTTGACGTGTGATTTTATATTAATAATTCACAACCAACTTGTATTCCATTTACTAAATTTTTCATTTCTGTTCAACTTTTTTATGCACAGCCATACCTATAAAAATATTGCTCAATATAAGCATCTGTCTTGTTTATTGGTTTTATGAATATGCAAATCAATGATGCTTTTATAATAAAATTAACAACTCTTTTTTCCCTTATATTGCATTTTTTTCAGATCCAACTGACGAAGTTTTATCAATTTTGATTAGAGTATGTTTTGAGCAAAGCGAGTGCCAATATTTAAGCTGAAATCATTTTTGCACGACTTTTTTTTAATTTGTTTCGCTTTTAAGCTTTTTGCTATTTTTTTTCTTCGTATTTTTGCGCATAATTTTTTAATTAAAAATATGCGCTCCCTTTTGGCCAAATTTCGAATGCATTTTTAATAATTTGTTTTGTTTGCCAGCCAGGAAAATGATTTCGCCTGGCCGAAAGATTCACTGAACTGTACACTGGACACACACACACACATACACACACACACACGCACACATACACACCAAATTTTGCTTTTGCTTTTGGCTTCTACTGGTACCGAGTTCTGTTTCCGTATCCGTTCCCGTTGCCTTTGTTATTGTTTTTTCTCTCGCTGTGCGCGCGCTTAAAGGCGTATAAATTATTTTTTAATTCGCCGCGTATTTGTACAGGATTTTCGTGTGTTTTTTACGCCACGGCTAACGCCCACCTTTGGGGCATTTTGGCGCACTAGAGCCGCATCGCTCTGGCTGTGCCGCGTGCTGATTAGATTTAACCACATTTTTTGTAAGCTCCTGCTGCCCAACTTACCCACAACATTCAGATAGCCGAACTGCGTTTTGGCCGTCACCGTATTGATCTGGCACATGTAACGCCCCTTGTCCTCCTCGTGCACATTATTGATGTGCAGGTACCAGGTGCGATGTCTGTCGTGCTTGTCGTGCGTGACACTGATGCGTGGATTGCGCGTGATCACGTGATTGTGCACGGTGAGTATGGCTGATTGTTCAAAGTGCATCCAAGCGACCTGAAAGAAAGCAGAACAGTTGAAGTGAGAGAATTATTATAAATATATAAAAATAACTGACTCTTCAGTCTGCGCATTGCATTTTGGTTGTATTGTATAAGTAAAAAAAATTATTTGATTTAAGAAAAAGAAGGCTTAACAAGACGAAAAATCGATCAAGAGTGAAGTTTATTATCATTCCATTATAAAACAGCTTATGAACGGAAGAATATATGCATATGTCTGCAAAAAATATTAAGATCACCACTATTATTTTTTCTCATTAAATATTTTGAAATCATTAAGCAGGTTATGCTAATTATCTCTTAAAACTAATTCTTCCTAAAGAGTAAAACGTTTCATAACTTTCCTAATCGAACAAATGTAATTAAGACACTTCGAAACATTTCTTGTGAAGGTTGGGCTTGCAAATTGGGAAAATTAGGTTTATTTTGCGTTTTAATATAAATATAATAATTAATAATTGAGGTCGATGGAGTTATATAAAGTATTTTCTATCTTTGGCAAAAACAAAGAAGTAAATATCAAGAATATTATATCAAGTATAATAAAAAACATTTTCTTATAATTGGCTCCAATTTGAACAAGATTTTTGTCCTCATACTTCTAAGAAAAGCCCTATAAATGTCAAGGGGTTGAGCAAAAGGAAAAGAATGCTTTACATTCATTATTCAAATTAACGCTTCTTTGGAAAACTTCTATGAAACTGAGCTAATAAAGCGAAATCAAGCTGAAAGAGCGGCAGACCCAAGCAAAAACAAGTCGTTTCGTCTTTTCATGGCCCATTTGCATTTTTATACACTGTTGTCAACGGGATTTGGAAAATATTGGATTTAAAGAATGCTAAGTCTATCTGTCCGAATAATATTATTTTCGATAACAATAGCGGAGTCATACATTTGAAAAGTTCACTCGATTATAAAAGCAAGAAACGGACCTGTTTTTTAATCTGCAGTACATAAAGTATATTTTTTATGTGCCATATGATTCTCTGGAGAGAGAAAGGACCTTGATTCGCCTACAATTAAGAAGAAAAGCCGCATAATTCTTGTATAAGTTTCCTCACAAAACAGAGTATCTTGCAGTCGTTTCCACTGACACATTTTAACTCGTTTTTCTTGCGGTTAGTGAAAAATGGAATAGAAAAAAAGGCAAAATGATTTATTAATTAAGCAGCTTGTGAGAAATCAGCGTGTAATGAGCGATAATGATTTGATTACTCGACAAGAAAAGGGAACAAGAAACCGGATTAATGCAATTAGATAAAAGAGATAAAAGGAAGAAGCAAGGTAAATGCAAAGCGAAGCTGATTGAATAAATGCAGCAAAGATGGCAGTCAAAGTCAACTAATTAGTAGCTTACATTGCGCATACGCCATGTGAAACCAAAAAGCAAATGAGTAGTTTAAGCAGACGATGCTTTTCGATAGATGTTCACTGCAAATGCAAAGATCAAGAGCTGGCCAGGCTTAGACACATCATTACCATGGGAAATGGAGAACACGGCCATGAATATCAAAAGCACTTGAATTGCTGCAGCGACGCCTTAGAGCATCATTACCAAGCACTCAAAAAGCTGGCTCAAGTAGCTAAGCCCAAGCCAGCTTCACGGACTGGCTGACTGGCTGACTGGCTGACTGGCCGACTGACTGACAGAGGGTGAGTGTGGGAGAGGTATACCTGGCTGTGCCACCTGATATCTTGGCTGTATTTTTTGGCTTGCCATATCCAGGAAATAGAATCAAATTGAGGTGTAAATGCGAGCAACAAGAAAACGAGAGCTGACGACGACACAAGAAACGTGCAGCGCATGAAGTAAATAAAATGGCCAAATTGAAGATGGGGCTGCAGTGGGGGGTGGGGTTGGGGGGTGAGCGCAGAGCAGGTACCAAAAAGCGTACACCGATTCGGTTTAGCTGATGGCATGTCTAAGTAGCTGTGTCTGTGCGAGTCAGTGGGAGGCAACCCAACAAGCCCACCCCCCTCCCCAATGACAGCCAGCTTCTCGGTTACATGTATTGCATGCGTGTAATTCATAGCTATCATAGTGCACACACCCAAACACACACCCGCACACACGCGCACCGCAACGCACATGAAACCGGTCGAGTTTATTTTTATATGCGACACTATGATGCAATTTTCTCGCTTCCGCTTTTTGCTAGCGCTTCTGGGTTTTTTACATTTTTGTTTTTTGTTTTTTGGTTTTTTGTACCTACTTTTCCTTTTTGTGATGCTGAGCTGTGAAATTGCAGTCGTGTACGTGTGCACATTGCGGGGTGAAGTAGGAGTTAACCCTTATAGGAGCTAGTATATATAGTTGCATGTCGTTAGATGTTATTAAATAGTTTTTAAAGGGGCGAACGAGCAAAAAACCACTAAATGCGTTTATGCACGCTGCACAGGTGTGTAAAAATTTGCTTAGCACTTCGTTAAGGGAGATTCTCAAGCAGATATTGGAATAGTCGAATAGAGTGGACACGCAGTCGAAATTGGTATGGATTTAAATGTCATTTAGCTGGGATGCTTAGCTACGGGAATTCGAAGTCGTGCATGCTCGACTTTAGATCTCTTCTTATTTTCTTTGACTTATCTATTATTTTCAATTTATTTTTTTTAATTAATATATAAATATATTCCATATATTCACTTCCCATGTCTTGTATTTATTGTTGGATATGGCATTCAAATTTTCTGGTAGATTAGCACAAAATTCTCATTTGGGATCTGTCGTTTAACTCACCTTGTATGAGCCAAGATTTTTAACCGAGCAGCCCAGTTTGACATTTCTTCCAGCAGGTACAGTTACATTTTCGATGTATTCAGTAAATTCGGGTTCTTCAACAACAACTGCAAAATAAACATAATTTACTTATTATAGTTTTGTTAATATTTATATTCATCTGTTATTTTAGAATGATTGGGATGAGGTTTATATTATAATGATGTCGAAAAAAATAACACAGAAATTCGCCCGGGAAAATACGCCATAAAATGAATTAAATTGATTGTTAAAAAAATTGGTGCAGCATGAAATAATCAAATTTTATTGAATTGAAAGTGGGAATAAAAAACAAGCAGGCTGAAATGTTTACAAGGAAAATGAAACATATTTCCACACACACACACACTCGCTTTATTTGCTTTAAATATCAACAAGTTAAACATTTTCACGCTTCGAGTTTTTCGCATTTAATTTTGAGTTTTCCTAGCGGCTCTCATTAAATTATTAACGAACAAACAATTCTCTTTTTTTAACACATCAAATTGCGGCGAACAAAAATCTTGTCGGAAATGATTTTCAATTTAAGAACGAATAAATATGTTAATGAAAAACTATATCCGATAAGCCGAAGCTTAAATTCCCTTTCATTAAAAGATCAATTTTATACTATATTTTATTCAAGCTTTCAGAACTATTTTGAACTTAAGTAGGGATTGCAGTCACATTTTTTATAGAATCAATTGAACTTTATTATATTTACGATCCAAAACTGTATCTGTAAAAGTTCGAAGACTCTTCAATGAAGCCTAAAAAGAATACTCTTAGTTAAAATGGCAACAGCGGAAACGGCAATAGCAATATATTTTCACTTCCAGAAGGATATTATATCCTCCGGACACACTAATGGGCTGGCATCTCTATCAGTTTGCCAGCAATAAAGTTCATATACATTTTTCTGCATTGGCTACTGACTGCGCTTTATGTATAATAATATCTTGTACTTTTGCTTGCTTGTGTCTTGATTGCGTAATTAAATAAAATTGCCAGTGAAAACATTTATCAGACTTGTGTACGTTTGCTTAATTGAATTCAATCGCTTTGAGCCGTAATAAAATGCCGTTGCAATTAAATTGTTAGCTGTGCAATTATAAAATCACATGGCCAAAAGGCATCAATTCAAATCGAAGGTGAAAGAAATGAGTTTTAACCACAAAGCTGAGGCGGCGGCTGCTTGACAAACTCTTGCCTAAGGAATTAATAAACTTTATTCATAATTATATCAGTTTTCAAAGACGTTCGACTCAAGCTCGGATTGGTCCTCATAATTGCATATAGCTTGTATCTGGTATTGATTCCTATATATAATGAAATAGGTGGCTCGCTCTAATAACAATTTTAATCGAATTGCTCAATACGTATAATATAAATATTGATGAAATTTTCGATTGATATAGAATGTTGGGAGTTTAATATAATTTCGACGGCCACAAATATGCAACAGTTTTGGGGCCCTGCTCTAGCCTAATTAGCTATTTATAATGCCTGGCAGCCACAAGCACATAATGCACACACTCACACACAAACCCGTATTTGTGCAATATGGCATAGTGCACAAGGCAAAAGTCAATACAATTTGGTTAGCGCTGCCAATACAACTGCCCCCAGGGCTCTTTCCACACACACGCACACACACATACACTCGAGCCCAGCCAGCTGGCATTTGACACATGACATTTGCCACGCCCACTACATGCATCGGCCCATCTAATTATGAAACAGCAATAGCAAGGGGAGAGGAAAAGTCGCATAAATTAGCAGCACTTGAGGCAAATATAACCATGACATTCACTCCGCCTTTTTTTCCATTCTATGCCTCATGCACTTGAATTGAAAAACAAAAAAAGAAACAAGGAAACAACAAACAAACGGCACAAAAGTAAAAAAGTAAAATGGAAAAAAAAAAAGGAAAACTGCTGCTGCAACTCGAGCGTGCAACCTTTTTGCAGCAGCGTCAAATTCTCTGCATAATCATGGGATTTCATCCAGCTGCAATTTTCGCGCCAGAGCGCGTGTCTGCATATAAATTTTCTGAGGGCCTCGACCGCCATCGCCTCCCACAAAACATCCCCTACCCCCTCCACGCACTTGTTAAACTACAGCACCTACTCCCCAAGCAGGGGCGAGACCCAGAGCAGAGTTAGGCGACACGCCGATGACCTGTTTAATTAAATTGTTTAAATTAAATATTATTTAATGGGCAAAACTCTTTAAAGTATTTGAAACAAAGATCTTCTAAGATTGGCCTGAAGAAAACTAACTATTTACAGAATGCTCTATTTCGATATCTGAAGGACTTCAATTTTGTTTGAAATATATTTATTGTGATATTCCATTCTTCCAATTTTTTTGGATTTAATTAAAAAATAGTCTAATCGATTATTGCAATCTACTTAGTTGACATACCAATAATAAACATTAAGCAATGAGATGTGATAATAATATTCATCAATTATTATTAAATTAAATTTCCACCAAACAAATAATATAAATAAAAAGGTTTTTTTCTTCACATTCAATTCAATTATGAATTTGTAAAACAAGAAATAAGGGACTAGCCAATATTTAAAGAAAGCCTGCAATGATTTTATAGAGAGTCCCCCCGTTTCTACTGTTGTACAGCATAATATACCCAATTTCACGTCTGGCGTTGCACAAAAAGTTGGCAATGATATTGGCCAGCAGCAGTTAATGGGCTTGTCAGAGAAGGGGTGTGGGAGCTGCAGTGGTTATGGGTGCAGAAACAGAAGGGAGCGGGAACGGGAGCGGGAGCGGGTGCTGGGAGCTGGGAATGTGGTTGATGTTGCCTGTTGCGACATAAATTGCGTTGCCTGAATGAATTTTGCGCACAGTTAAGCGACATTTGTGTTGTTTTTGTTGTTTGCGTCTCGCGTGACTCCAACTGCACCTGAGAACAATGACAGCCGGCATGGGCGCCAATATTTGTGGCGAGAGGCCCACAACTCTCTCCCTCCCACTCACTTGCTGGCACTCGCTGTCACCGATATTCTTTTTTCACGCCGCGTATCTGTGCAGCTGCTAGCTTTCAATTTTTGGCATATAGCCCTGTGTATCACTTATGGCCCGCGGCTGCATTTTATCCCCCTCGGTATCTCTGTATTTCTATCTGTCTCCCTGTCAGTGTGTAAATATGATTGCCCGAGGTCGGCCGCCTACGAGCCGAGTGTTATTGATGGCATCAGACACTCGTGTCAGCCCAACGGGCAAGCCGGGCATAAAGATAACCAAGATAAGTACGCCGCATTACACTGTGCAGCAAATAACAATATCGCAAGATATTGACTGCTCCGAATAAGAACGCTATGGCTAGGCAATACTCTGTACGGCTTATAAAATTCTGTCTGTAATGGATTAAGTTTTGAACTTAAATTATAATTTAGTAGTAATATATTACTGCCTTCATAAAATAATCACGATGTATTTTCGCCTAACTGATTGAGGACAAACATTTTCTTTAGATTCTCAAGGTTCTTATTAAAAGTATAAAACACTTTATTCGTAATTTTATTTCTGATTTAATAAGCCTAGGCTAGCTCGCGAATTATGATCTTTCTAATAAATTGACTAAACCATTATTAAATAGACAATTACAAAATTCCTTTCAAACTATAAGCGAAAACTAAGTAGAAACGTTTTATTTCTCGCCATTATGAGAAATATATGTGAGATATATAATTTGATCTGGTCGATTCAAAAATATTTATTTATATTTCAATAAGCCAAGCTGCGCCAAGGTAACTTTAAGCTTTAGGACTATTCTACTAATTATAAAAAGCAGACAGATAGATAGACTCCGGTTTTAATACTGCTTATATATATATTCTATATATTCAAGTATATATTTGGGACCGAAGCGCATTAACAAAAATATACTTGTGTTAAAATTCTTTCATATATTTCTAAATAAATACTTAAAATACATCTATATATATCAATAGCAAAATTTATGAATGAGATTTTCATTTTATGATTGCAGAGGTTATCCCTACTAAATACCTACTTAAAATCTAAAAAAACAATGTAAATAAATGTTTCGAATTGTATAAATAGTAAATTTGTAATCTAAAAGAACGCGTTTTGTGGGCAGCTCTACTTACTATTTAAATTCGATGTGGGCGCATTGGGCATACCGCCGGCGACAATTACACCATTGCTGCTTAGAACGGTGTTGCCATTGGCGGTGGCGGTGGCGGTGGCGGTGGCGCCACCGCTGCCAGTTGCGGGTACCGCTGATTTGCTGCCACTGAGATGCTTGCTGCTGCCGCCGTAGGCGCCGCTGCCGCTGTTGCTGCCGCCGCCGACGCTGGCGTTGAGTATCTGCGGCAAGATGATCTTGTTGGTGGAGTCCCCCGCTGTTGCCGTGAGCACTAGGAGGGCCCCAATTAGATGCCAAGACGGGAGCAACATCAACTTGCCGTTGCCTTGCCACTTTCCCCAGCCAGGAGCACCAACGTTGGCCTCGTGGCCTGGCTTAAGTGCATCTCTCCACGCGAGTCCCCGCGAGCTGCCCTACTTAGCTCTGCTCCACTCTCTCGGCTATCAAATTTGCCTGCGGCTCGATTAAATATTGTTTGTGCGTCGCTTTTTGTTTGCTTAGCTTCTTAACACGGTTTGATTTTCCTTGACCACAACAGTTGTAAGCTTCATTTGGCTTGTGATATTTTTCAAATAATAAAAATGTTCTTCAACCTAAGTGCAATCTATTTTTATGTTTAAATTTATATATATTTTTTTAAAATTATATTTTTACTTTTATAAAGTGAACGAATTTTAGCTAATTTTAGTTTATTTAACTCAAACAATTAAATTTTCTTCTAATACTTTTATGTAGAAATCGATTTAAAAATTATATCAAAAGTTGTTTTACTAGACCGGAGTTAAGTTTCTTCAAAGTTTTCGCCAGACTTCTTTCATTCCTGATTCATTATATGAATTCTTTTAACTACAGGCACTTCATCCCTAATCTAGTTATCACTTCTGTCACACGCTCAGCAATTAAAAAATAGCCGCATAAAAAACATAAAAAATTTAGCCCAACAATTAAATTTTAATTTGCAGCCGTATAAAAACGAGCCGAGCAGAATTTATTAATTTAATTACAAGCACTTTGGCAAACTTATAAAAAGTGCATAAAATTTGTTATTTTAACTTTTTTGTTGCTGTTTGTAAATCTGTTGTTGTCTATGCCAAAACGTCATCATGTGTGTGTCGGGGCGGGACGGAACGGGGCGGGAGCGTGGCTTGTAGAAAATTGCTTAATTTCATAAGCGAGTCATAAGGGAAAAAGTTTTGTGCGTGTACCGCAAGCTGTGGACCCACACCTCCCACACCGCCCACACCGCCCATCCCTTTCTCGTTCTCTGCACCCATGAAAGAAGCGACACGCTTAAAAGCCATAAAAAAGTATGGATGCTCTAGAGAAAGTTTTTCTATATTTCTTGTATTCTGCTTTATATGTATAAATTTTGTTGTTCGAAATTTGCGCAGATCGCCAGCAACACGCACGACACATAAAATGTTTCATATATTTTTGTTAAACGCAGATAAAGTTATGCGGCGAAAGCAACTTAATAACTGACTACGTTGACAAAGTTAACCGAAACCCACTGAAAACTTAAGATAAACATAAATGAAAACAGCTTTTAAATTAATTGCCTGACATTTTGCATACGAGTTGACAATATTCCTGTCCCGTTCGCTATCTTTCTTCTGTAGCACCTGTTACTACCAGAGAAATGTAGCTGTGAGTTTTTAATTAATGACAAAAAAATATAATCTGACATAATATAACATAAGTCCAAGTGCCTTGTTCAGAAAGTATAAATGGAAAAGCAAAACTGACAGAGTGAAAGGGTTCACAATAATCCCTTAAGAACTTAAAGTTCGTTTATTAAAAAAGTGCAACACAAATGCAGAATAAATATGCCTCATAATGTGATATCTACTATATGAACTACTTTACAAGAGGTAGAAACATAAAAGATACGTAGCGCATATAGTATACTTAATATCTTTCCTTTTTCAAAGATCCATACTTTTAACCATATTTAATGTATATATTTTTACTGACTAATATGATTTGTTCTACAAATACTATTTCAGTTGCAATAAAAATGCACTTTTTTACCATCAAATTTCAATTTGTTTTTTCTTTAACTATGTTTGTAAATATACGAATTAGGTACTGCTCCCATTTCCCGGCAGAGTTGAGCAACTGCTTTCCACGGCTGCCGACTTTTGTTCTTATCTAAAAAGTAGAACAGCATTTTTATCTGCGCGCAAATCCCAAAAGAAAGTCGCACACCTTTCGCGTAGATAAACCAGACCATATATCAATTGGCCGCCAGAGGGCGCTGCAGTCGTTGCAAACAAACTCAGGGGGAAATCTTTATGACTTTTTGAGTTTCGGTCTGGCGAAAGGGTTTTCTATCTCTCTCACTTTTTCCAAATGGCTGAAACTTTTGTGCGGCACGTGCAGCAGCGACTGCAAAATGGGCGTGGCATCCAGAATATGGCGGCTTAGTCGGGCATAATATTTTGCCAAACTTTATTGAATTCCCAGTCAAATCTGCGTGGCATCTGTGAGGTTAGCCCAGGCCCGGAAGGCAAACAGAACGCACAAGTTGCTAGACACCAAACAATTGACAGGGTACAGCAGAGCGTAGGAGAGGCGGGGGGTGTTCTGTAAAGCCAAGTGCAAACCAGAGCAGTGCATTGAAAGCAAATTTATGGACGCCAAAGTCATATGGAAAACTCGAGAATTAAGCAATTTCTGCGTGCATACTTTCTGGCTTTTTTTGGGTTGCTCTACTATCTTCTTTTTTTAGGGCTAAGCAAATGGAAAACTTGTTATTAGGATATGCCAGGGTGTGGTAAAGAGATAAAAAGAAATCCTGGCTTGAACGAAAAAAATAAGAGCTAAAAGTGAATTAGTCAATGCAGAAAAAGAAAACATGGGCCCTGCAGTCGAGGATTTCAGAAGTTGAGTTAAAAGCATTTCAAAGCTTACAAGGATTCACATTCGTCAGTTGTTTGTCTTTAAAACTATATTTAATTTATTATTGCCTTTCATTTAACTTCCTCTACGTTTTGAATAAAGTTTTTTATTTATAAATTAAATCTATATATATACAATTTTCTTTTACTCTTCTAACTTTTAGTGTGTCTACTATGTAAGGAAATAAAATATCGTTTAATTTTTTTACAACACTATTTTTAAACATTTTCTAATGCAGCTATGAAATAAGCGACAGAGAAAACGACAGTCTAATAATCATTGCTCAAACACAAGTCGCCCTTTTCCCTTCACTCACTTCCATATGAAATTTAATAAATTTACTTATGCATTCTCATTTCGCTAACAAAAACTTCATGTATGTACGTTTTCCTCGAATAGAATAATTTTCTTTTGAAGTTCTCTAAAAAACTTTAAGGACCTGCTAGTAGTTCACTTATAAATTTAAATCAGTGTAGCATCAAAAAATATTTATGTGTGTAGAAATAAAACCCCATTATGCCATTATTTTTCGAAAAATAAATTACCACTCCAAACGAAGCTTTTCCCATGGGCAAATAATTTATAAACTATAATAATTTATAGTGTGAAGATTTTGTTCACCTAAGTGCTTTTTTATATTGTATGTTATCTTAATAATAAAAATAAAAATAAGCAAATAAATATGCAATGGAATGAAAAAAAAAACCCAAATTACTTTAAAAAATAGTTGTATTGTCCTTCGTTTTATTGAGTTCTACCTGTCTTAGACAACGCCTTTATAAAATCGCATCCAATTAAACAAATTGATTTAATTAGAGGCCTTTACCGAATGTCATCCTCTCGTAATATATCCTTATGAAAGGACATTGCAACAAATCTGCCTCTGTGAGTTTTTTCGGTGCTCATCAGAAATCCAAGGCAGAATGAAATCAATGCCGGGACAGAGCCCAACTTCAAATGGAAATAAAATACAGTCATACGAGTACATGTACACATTTCGTACTGTGGCCTGGACAAAGCCAGACATGTGACCAATTAGCGCGAAAATACTGAAGGACAATGGAAGGCATGGGGCGGGGCAGAGGCTGCGTTTGCCAGTCGGAAAATGTTCAGGACCAAAAAGTGGGTTCTGAGTGCAAACAGAAAGCGAATGCCGCATTGGCAGCCATTAGCTATTAGTTAGGCATTCCAGGCACACGTTTTAATTTCAGAATTTGTTGCCTCTCTTTTCTCAAGCCTAATTAAAAGCATGTGTGTCGCACATGAGAAAGAAATGGAGAAAGGGAGACAAAACATGAACATATTTAGAGTTGAATAACATTTATTTTCTCTCGCACAAAACGTCATGGATATTTTGTATTTTGTGGAGCTTCCTCAATGGCACCCAGAAAACAAACAGAAATTGTTTAAATTGTAAACAAGAGCAGGGAAAAAAAGAAAACGAAATATAATAAATATTATAATAATAAGCTGGGGCAGCTGTGGTCCGCGCCTTGACGTGCCAAATCACCAGCCCCAGCGCATTCACCCTCTGGCCTTTATTTATTTTTGTTTTGTGGCCTAAGCTACAGTCGCTAAATGCTGACAGCTTTTGGCTTTCAACGCTGCGACATTTGCTGCGGGTGTTGGCGACTGTCGGTTAAAGAGGGGCGGGGTTTAGCACGGGGCTCACATTGTTGCCCTGCCATGTTTACAATGAAAAGCCGCCGACCAACAAATTAGCATATGCTTAAGTGGGTTCTACTTTAATGTGGCTCAAACTGAAGTTTCAGGTGTCTGAAATGTTCTCTATTTTTGAAAGTGTTTACGATGAAAGTGTGAGCTAGAGAAACTAACGATAAATAATATGAAGAGAGAGATAGCGAGGATAGTAAAGGAAAAAAGAGAAAACGACCATAAGATCCCCATTTGGGAGAGGGAGAGAAAGGATAGAGAAAAGGGGATGTAAAAGTCAGAGAAAGAGAAATAGAGAGAGAATGTTGAATTAAGGAAAATAAGAGCAATCGAGGATGCAAAGAGAGGATATACGAGAGAATGGAACTGGGGATCAGTTTAAGATCGAGGATGAGACAAAACGAAAATACGAGAAAAATAGATAAATTAAGGATTTAAAAGAGACAGAAAGAGATAGAGTGAGAGAGCTAACAGAGAACTAGTTTATAACAACACTTAAGCAAAACCTATACAATTAAAATTTAAAAAAATATATAAAATGAAATAAATAAATACACACACATTTAATATTATTTCAAGTAATAATTGAGTTGGTTATTATAATTCTTTATAATCGAAATTTCAATAAATACTCCAATGTGTTCTAGACAAAAGTGCTCTTCAGACCTAAGTCCAGATTCCACCGCAAATTCTATTTATCTTATTGAAACCAAAGCTGATCCGGAAACTCACTGTAGACAGGCCAGACAAATTGCTGTCAATTTGTAGTTGGTAACAACAAGGAGCTCAATAGCATCAATGCCAATGTTACAGATATAGCCTGCAGATACAGATACAGCTACCGAGATACAGATACAAAATACAAATAAATACAGTTATTGTGCTCCATTGAGTTGCATCAATAACTTTTCACTTGTGCCTCACAATTTGTCGCACTGCGTGGTGGCAATTTAAAAGGCCAACTCGTCCCTCCGCACCATTCTCCGGCTATGCCCTGCCACCAG